AATCTCACAGCCCTTACCTAATGAGGGAACCTTTCATCGTAAAACTTAGTATACATTCATAGTTTGAAGATCTCCAATAGTAGTATAATTGGTTTTGCAAGGTCAAAACTTCAATATTTGGTGGGCCAAATAGCTAAGATATGAAGAGTGAAAATGAACAGGTGACTAATCTAATGGCTAGATATCCTGTCTCTTTGATAGTATGATCAACCGACCAGACATCCATTGTTATGGTTTCGCGCGTAGGATCCCATTACGGGTCGGTCCACGGTGCGAAGTCCTGCTTTTCCTTGCGTCTTTCCTTGCGTACAGACCCTATTGCGGAAGCTGAATGGGTGATTTATCCAAAAGACCACTCGAACTCTCCTCACTCTTTTCTTGATTGGAAAATTGAATGCTTTATTTCAATTCATAGCTCCTTAAATAGGAGATTACAGAAAGAAATTCCTAATTAAACTCAAACTCTAACTTGAACTCAAACTCCTAATTACCTACTCTTAATGGTAACTCACTCTTACTTAAGATAAGATAAAGATGATATTAGGTAAAGATAAGGGATAAGGGATAAGATAAGGATAAGGTAAGCTGGCGACGAATTGGCTTGATGTGTCCAGATAAGGATGGGCCCACCCCTATGAACTGTCGTGTGGGCCCCGCTCTGCTACTGCTGCCGGGTGCATGCGCACGGCTCATGGTGCCGCTGCCGCGCGGTGCGTGCACGCAGTGCTGCCAGGTAGTGCCTGCTGCTATACGGCCTGCTGTGCGTGCTACTACCTATGACTGCGCCACAGTGCATTGCCAGATGATGCGACCATAACATCCATATTCCACATGAAAGTAGTGTTGGATCCACACAACCCATTTCATTAGAACACTCTAGGTTAGTCATAACTACTGCTCAAAAACCTAGAACACTATTAAAACATGAGACCCACTTCTCATAAAACATCAAAACATCAAATGATGGCAGAAACCTAGAACACTACTAAAAAATGAGACCCACTTCTCATACTAACACATCAAAACAACAAATGTTGGTAGATGAATCAAGCAGCACTGGGGCAAATCAAGAAGCTTGTTTCCAAAAAGAGGAGAGAGAGAAAGAGAGACTCACCCTCTCCTTGCTGCCACAATTGAATTTCATCCTCCTCAAAAGTCAGGAAAGAAAAGCTTTGTCTCTTCAGCACCACACCATGTGTTCGACGAGGGTTTTCAAGGAATGGGTGCTCAAAATAACAAGGAACTGCATCAACCTTTTTTGACCATAACTGTGCAGCTGGTTGTTATACATGGCAGAGTAATATAGACCATAACTTGCCACGTTTTGAATGCTTGAAAACTAATTATGAAAACCAACCAGCAGATCAGTGATGCCGCTAAGAACCAACCATTTGATTTATGCATTAATCTTTCCAAAACTTTTTAGGAATAGACTCAACCAATATTTTTTTATACATGTAAGAACACACAAAACCGACCACCTACCTGAAATCAATGTTGTCAGACTCTTGGGACCGGATTTAATACCATTTTGGTCTATTGAGTGGTCTGTCATCCACTTTCACCATTAATTCAATTCACTCAAGTAAAAATGTTTAAGAAAAAACATTAGTGAAGGGTTTTGGATTATTTATCTTTTAAAACAATATCTACTTAATTAGGATCAAAATATAAGCTTCAATAAAGAATGAATTAAGTATTTTGAGGTAACTGTTCTCAACAATTCTAATAACTAGCATCCCAAGATCAGTTTCAGTAGTGGGTTTTCAGTACTGTCCAAACAGTTGCTTGGGATTTACCAACTAATAATCTACTAATTAACCAAAGAGAATGAAATAATTAAGCTCTCTAATTAAGGATGTAAACCAGAATATTGCTTTAGTTATTACTGATTCATGACTCATCATCAATGTCTTGGATAAGGGAGCATGCCATTAAAATATCATTCCGTATCTGCTATGTTTTGTCAGTTTCATGAGGGTACGTATCAATGCAGTGTTCATCTTATTTCCTTGGCCCGCCATTGGAACCCATGTAAAGCCACTCAAGGTCAACTGTAGGAAGAAGGGTCCAGAGCCAATTCCCACATTTCAATGGGGAAACATCTCTGGTCCTACTACTTTTCATTGCTGGATTGAAGGATGGGTGGCACCTTATTGTGCTGCTCTGCTCTCCTGCAGCTGCAGCTATGTATATGATATGATATATCCCACATGTGACATTTGCCATTTTGATGCAGATACAACATATGGTACAAGCTTACGGTTTGCAACCTTGCATCACATCATCAACTAGGGTTAGGACTCTAGGGCACAGCTAAGGTTCACGGTGCAACTCATATATAGTCATAACAAAGTACCACGTGTATTTTATGGCATTTAAAGCAGTTTTCAAGCAAACATGCATCTCTTTCAGACCATCTGCCGACATAAAACTACTCGGTTTCGAGCTTAATTTTGAGTCACAAATCATGAATGAAAAGCCAAGAGTTAAGGTACACACTTTAACTTTAGGTGCCCCGTTTGGGAGGGCTTTCTTGCAGCGGTTTATGGCCTTGCACGCAAGGTTTTTAAGATCGGAGCAGACAAGGAATCATTTTGGAGACCAATTCTTAGGTTGAATGATCCAATTATCTAGTTTGAACAGATGGTCCATTTTAACTTTAAAAATAAAAAAATAATAATAATAAAAGAATGGCCAAAAATTATTGTCTAAATCAACAGTTTGACAGTTCAATCATCTGGATCAATAGGTCATTGACCAAATCAATGGTTTTTGGTAAGAAAACGGCTTTAGGGTGAAAAAAAAACTGATTACCTGATCAATTCTCAGGTTTTCTGGTCCAATCATTTGATCCGGTCCGGTTTTGAAAATCATGCTTGCATGAGCAAAAAAAACTCAGAAAGTTAAGTTATATTTGGTAAAAAAATCCGGCAAATTGAAAAAACAAGGTTACATGAATTGAAAAATCGGCTTTCTGATGAAGCTGGTTAACTTCTATCACCACATAAACCCTCCCAAACAGACTAATTATGAATCACTTGTATTAGTCAACAAAAGTGAATAATGTAAATAAAATCTATCATTTCATGGATTGACATTTATTTTTAGCCAGTCATCTAAGAAAAAGCACAAGGACCTTCTAAAGAATTTCACTTTTTACATTAACCCATAATTTCTCTACGGTCTACGATTTTTTGGGACTTGAAATTTTTTATGTTTTCTTGGTAGAAATAATTTTTTTATTAAATAATAAAGAAAATACAACCAAGATTGGGTGGAGGGCCTCGAACCATTTTGGCTACAACAATGTCGTGCACCATGCTATGGCCCCACCTTCAATTAAATGAAGTGACGTCTTTGGGGCCACAATAATACATTAAGCAAGATTTAAAAAACAATGATTTGAAACCGTTTTAGCCACAGTTTTTGGGTCAATGATTCAATCGTCCAATTCAATGAACGGCCTGTTCCAACTTTAAAAATAAATAAAAAATAAATAAATGGTCAAAAATTATATTTTTGGATCGAATGAATCAATAATTCGACAGCCCAAGCCAGCGAATTGCTGATCAAATCAATGATTTTTAGCTAAGAACCAGGTTAAGGGTGAAACCTAGGCGGTTCCAAAAACACTGCATCTAAGGCCATGATCTCAATTTTATCCCTGCGCTGGACAATGTCATAACAAAAATTAACTCATGGGGCCTAAACCTGATGCACCCAAAGAAAATACAGCAATACAGCCCTTTGATGCGGCATTTGTTTTTGTTTTCAAAAACCGGTTGTCAAACACCCCCCAAGAACAGAGTTCTTTTAGTTATATGTCCATAGGCCTTTGTCTTAAGTTTTTGAAAGTAGGTCGTTTCTTTGTAAAATGGAGAGCAGATTTTTCTGATTGAATTATTTCAGCTATTTTCGTCTGTTTGCACCTTACTTTGCTTCAATGCAAATGACAAGAAAAACTTTTCCATCCATTTCATATTGAAACAAATGGGGCCTTGTAGAATTGCCAAATTGAAATTTTCAATATTGGATAGTAGGAGAAAATCGTGTAGAATTGCCAAATGTAACTTTTCACTGGATTTTCAAGATGGAGGCATAGATTTAATGGTTTATAACTTTATATCTTTATTTGAAAATTCATGACTAGAAATATCTCTTTTAGTAAATATCAGATAAGAACAAGATCGTCTTCTAAAGTGAGACAAAAATGTTAGAATGCCTGATATATACACATGACGCACACACAAGACAAAACCTTCTTTAATTCTCTTTTCTCCTTTTCTCCATGATTCCTCCAAATACATGAAGCAATTGTCTGAACTATTTTTTTTTTATTTATGCAATATGCGCTTTTCTTAAAAGGGCCTGGTATGTGATAAGAGTTTAGAATAAATCCCATTCTTTGGAAGAACCCGGATATTAATTCAATTAAAATTAATTTTGATGCTTCTTGCACCTGTAATAATCCGTATATACTACTGATTATATGGGTAGAATGCTTGATTTAAAGGCCTAGGGAAAGCCATGATCAACCTTGCTGAAGCTTGAGCTACTTGCAAAACTCATAACTTGGTACTAAACTTTAGAAAAATCTATCATTACTTGGGTGATTCCAAATTAGTCATCAACTTTTCAAGTCAGCCAGAGACCAGGCTGAATAACCGTGTGACCCAACTTAAACCATTATTTAACCGTATGACTTAAGAACCGGAGACCAGTCTGAATAAGCAATATGCTTTTCAAGTCGGCCATTTCAGCCATTATCAAATGGCCCATGAGTTGAGCTTCGGATCAGTTCCAACAAAACCAGTTTTGTGAGACCCGGATCAGATAAGATCAAATGGTTGAATCGGTGAATGGGTGACTCAATGATCTTTCTGTATCCTGGTTTTTTTTTTTTGACAACTTTTAAGGGATGAGCAATTTAATCACAATTTTACGTCCTATCCAGGTCTTGACAACACTCCCAATACTAAAGCAATGAGCAAATTGGGTGGGTTCAGCAAGGAGTGGATTCTTTTTCTATAATTCTATGTGCAGTAAGCATCACAAACAATTAGATCCACCAATGCTTACATCCAGTCACTTGTTGAGTATAATGCCAGTATCTAACATAATTACCTGAAGTGGTCAAATCAATGAACCATACCGAAAACCCATTATAAATAGATCAAAGATAACAGGGTAATTCACGATATAAACAAACTCAGTAGTACAGTGCAGAAGAAAGAGAGGTATTGGAATTCTGTAATCTGTAGTGCAATTGGTGTCCTTTCTGCAATCATGAAGAGGGAGCACGAGGCAACCTTTTAGCAATTTCCTGTCAAGGAAGAAAAGTCAGTCCCCGAATTGCATATAAAATAGATTTTCCATATCAAGTAGGAAAAGAACCCATGAAGGGCATGTCACTAATGCCACAAATTTGTAATCATCTCCTCCATACATCATCAAGCATTAGAAGCAGCAAATTGCAAATTGCAACCAAAGCAGATACCACTACCGTGCAGCCAAATAATTAATGGAAACATAACCTATTGATGATCTAGTTATTGAATTGTTTTATACCAATATTCTTCTCAACATTCAGAAGAAGAGCAAATCCATTGCTGATATGTGGCTGCTAGTCACCAATGTTTTGAAAACTTACTGGTACAACCACAAAACAACAGGGTTCCGGGATTGGCAGTTTTTGGACATATTAACCTTCAGACTGGTCCAACTTATGGTTAAACATGGAAAAACCGTAACTGGAGGTCTTCTAATTTGACCTCCAGTTCAAAATGTTGGTACTTAAAATACAGAACTCTAGACTTTTCCACATCAAGTGGCCACTCATGTTAAAATACTAATTATAAGAAGCCATGTTCAGGCCTTAGAAAAGAAAAAAATAAGTACCACAAATGTACCTCAAATAGCTGATTAATATTATCTGCTGTCTTTGCAGATGTCTCAATAAAGAACATCCCATTCTTCTCCGCATGGTTCATACCATCCTTCACAAAAAGAATAATGACAAATGTGAACTATTACAGTCTTTAATAAAAGTTCATGAAATGCACCAAATAAAATTCTGATTGAGAATGCATATCAAATACCAAATACAGAAGCTAATGTTTCAAGTTTTGGGCACAAAACACATACTTCAATGGATACTTCTCGTTTTTCTTGGAGATCAGCTTTGTTCCCTACCAAAGCCAAGACAATATCGGGGCTCCCATGTTTTTGTAGCTCCTAATAGAAATTAAAATTCATCAATTGCTTGAAATATATATATATATATATATATATATATATATATATATATGTGTGTGTGTGTGTGTGTGTGTGTGAATATATATTGGCACATCATTGAAATCCACTACTTGTCTAGTACAGTGTTTCCGACTTGTCAAATGCAACAAGTAATTAATACACCATGCATGTATGTGAATATTTATGTATATGTATGAGTTTGACAGTCTCTTGATAAAACAAATCTGCAAAGAGTATATCAGTAAAAGAATAGAAGCAACCAGACAACCAGTTGTCGAAAAGCACAAATGTGTACATGTATACATACACAAATACATGGCTATGTATATACACATACAAGCATACACAGCATACACATATATACACATAAATACAGCAATTACAAATGTAAAGATTTGGTGAAGAATACATCCTGATAGACACATTATAGAAATATTAAAAAGTGAACTTAGAAGCAACAATTTCAATCTTCTATAATGGTGCATTTTATAATCTTCATGGTTCTTAGAGTTTACTGAGATTCTGATAGAAGCAACTTAGGTATCTAGGGACCTTGGAAAAGAAAACTTTTAATACTACCAGACACTGCAACAATACTAACTTGTAGCTCTGAAAGTACCACATAACAATAAAGTAGGGAAACACACAACACAGAAATCCTAGGTTTACTCCAGAACAAGAAATTAAATCCTGGTCTCATCACCTAACTTCTCGAAAACTGAAACCAATAACACTTGGTGCTGAATTGGTCAGTCACATTGTACTTGGACAAGTTTCCACTAAACTAGGTTCATTACTATGCAAGTAACTAATAAGTATCATAATTTGGCATACTTGGATAAGATTGCAACCATTGGCATGGAAAAGAAAGTGTTCTTTGGACAAGATAGTAACTATTGGCAAAAACCTATCAAGGCATGGGAATATCAGAAATGACCGTTCCTCATATAGAATTTGTGATAATTAGTACCACGCAATTATGCATTTATCTCTATCACCCTTATCTATCAAAGTGTGGACACTACACTTTAGGCCTTTCTGGCTGCAAAGGGTCAAACCAGGAACATTGATTTTGCTTATTCAGGCTTGGCCAATGAAAGGCTTCTCTAGGAGATATCATATTCTCTGGAACTTGACCCCATTTGCAATATGTTGGTTATTGGAAAGAATGGAACAATCACAATTTCTGAAGGAAAGAGCTGTCTGAATTTCGAGATTGTAACCATCATTTTTGTTAACTTTAGAAAATATACAGATTATACCACTGTACATACATCATCAGACCAAAACAGTTTAACTTTTCTATTCTGGACTCAATCCCACCATTCTGCTTTTTTATGAATACATTATGATGCGGGATAGGTACGACCCAGAGCTGTGGAAATTGAAGAATAACCACTCAAGAGTTGGAAAATAACTGCAAGTGAGGTCTTAGTGTTTATTGGGCTTGCTTGGAAAAGGTGATTAGGATTCTAGGGTAAGGTTAAGATGGAGGAATTGGAGATTCACTTTGAAGCTTGGAAAAACTCTAAGAAATTGAAAACTACATTTAGAGACCTTTAATGACCGAAGTGGCTGAACTGTCTTTTAGTGAATCTCATTAAGTACGCTTTAATCTCCTTAATTGCTGAAAAGCATGTTAGTTGATTATAATACTCCTAAATATTTTATTATACGACAATTTATCCATAAAAGACAAAGCAATAAGTTATTCAATCTTCTACTTCAGTCGTTAACAAAAAGCCCTTTAGTAATTGAACTTTTAGCTGAAATTTTGCAAAGATATTTGGAACAACACCAAAAGGACAAAAATTTGAGAAAGTCTGGGCTGTGAAATATGTAGATTTAATATAAAGGTGATTTGAGAATGCCTGACACAAAAGGACAAATTCTGGGCTGTGAACCGTGGGGAAAATACAATACATGCATAAATAAAAAACAGAAACAAGAAGCAACAAACAAAACCCAAAAAAACTAATTAATTAATGTAGAGATAGTAAATAAAAAACAGAAACAAGAAGCA